CCAATGCCATCATTCTCATCATCAAGAAATCTTACACAGCAAAACCTTGCTCATAATCAGTTAAATGGCACAATTCAGTCCACCGATTGGTCAGGGCTTTCAAAGCTAGTAAGTATTGACTTGCGAAACAACAAATTCAGTGGAACAATCCCAACAACTTTATTCCGCATTCCTTCACTGCAGAAAATTCTTCTTTCACAAAATCAATTCGGTGGTAACCTCCGGCTTGGTGACCTCCATGGTGAGGCCTATTTACTAGATACTCTTGATCTTAGTAGCAATAAGTTACAAGGGCCACTTCCGGAGTCTGTATTTGAACTTCAAGGTCTCAAGATACTGTCGCTTGCTTCAAACAGCTTCAGTGGCTTTATACCGCTGAGTGCCATTCAGAACCTGAGAAATCTTTCCAGTCTTGATCTCTCCCATAACCGGTTGTCTATTAATGCCAGTGCTATTAATCCTTCCTTGCCTTCCTTCCCCAACATTACCACATTGAAGTTGGCTTCTTGCAACTTAATGAAATTCCCTGATTTCTTGAAAGATCAGAATAGATTAGTCTATCTAGACCTTTCAAACAACAATATCCATGGGGAAATACCCAAATGGATTTGGGAAGCCAGAGGTCTTCTTCACCTAAATCTTTCTCAGAACTTTCTTGTAGAATTCGAAGGACCTTTGCAGAATATAACTTCTACTCTTAGTGTTCTTGACCTTCATGGCAACCAGTTGCAAGGGAAATTTTCATTTTTTCCGCAAGATGCCACCTATCTGGATTACTCAAACAACAATTTCAGCTCTGATTTACCAGCTGAGATTGGAGACTACCTAAATTTCGCTTATTTCTTCTCTCTCTCAAGTAATAATTTTCAAGGGAGTATCCCCAGTTCAATATGCAACAGTACATATCTTCAAGTACTTGATCTGTCTAATAATTCCCTGAGTGGTGGAATTCCTGAATGCCTGACACATTTCAGTATGTCTCTTGGGGTGCTGAATCTAAGGAGAAACAATCTCAGTGGTGTCATTTCTGATACATTTCCGCAAGACTGTGGGTTGCAAACTCTAGATCTAAATCGAAATTTGCTGCAAGGAAAGGTTCCAAAATCCTTGGCCAACTGCAAAATGCTGGAGGTTTTAGACCTTGGAAACAATCAGATCAATGATACGTTCCCATGTCATTTGAAGAATATATCCAGGTTGCGTGTCCTTGTCTTACGAGCCAATAAATTTAATGGGAACATTCATTGTCCTGAGAAAAGCCCCTGGCCTGTGCTTCAGATTGTTGACTTAGCTTCCAACAGTTTTAGTGGTAGACTGCATTACACATGCTTGTTGACCTGGAAGGCCATGCAGACTGTCGAAGATGAAGCGCAATCAAAGCTCAAACATCTTCAGTTTGAAATCCTACAACTCAATCCATATTACTATAAGGATGCAATAACAGTTACCATGAAAGGCTTAGAGTTGGAGCTGCTCAAGATCCTAACAGTGTTCACCTCCATTGACATTTCATGCAACAACTTTGAAGGGCCAATACCAGAAGTGATCGGATCATTCAAAGCACTTTATGTCCTTAACCTTTCGCATAATGCTTTCACAGGGTCAATCCCATCATTTTTAGGAGACCTGAGACAACTTGAGTCCTTGGACCTCTCAAGTAACAACTTTCATGGTGAGATCCCTTTCCAGCTGGGAAACCTCAATTTCCTTGCATTTCTAAATGTCTCAAACAATAAGCTAGTGGGAATGGTCCCAAAGAGTACCCAGCTTCAATCATTTTCAGAAGCTTCATTTGAGAACAACACAGGTCTATGTGGCCCTCCTCTCAATGTAAAATGTGCAATCGTACCTTCACAGGCACCACATACAGTACCGGAATTTCGAACAACAGATGAACTTGATTGGCAATTCATATTCATTGGAGTGGGGTTTGGTGTAGGAGCAGCGGTATTTGTATTTTGGAAGAGAGCAAGCAAATGGGTAGATGACAATGTTGATAAAATCCTTGCGGCAATCCTTCCAAAGGTGGGTCTGACTTACACACGTCCTGATGATGCAAAGGTTGAGGCAGATGAAAATCTTGAAGAGGACAACACAGAAAATGATGATGAAGAAAGCAAGGAAAAAACTGAAGAATTTCGCGGGAGATATTGTGTGTTTTGCTCCAAACTTGACAAAACCAGGAAGAAGGCAATTCATGACCTAAGTTGTACCTGCTATGATTCACCATCTTTATCTCCTTCTTCTTCCACCTCTTCTTCGTTTTCTCCTTAGACCCTTCATTTTTTGCTTTGTTTGTTTGTTTGTTTGTTTTGTATATAGATACAGAAAGAATCAACCCTGGAAAGGGGGTGATGAGAAATGAACATGTAATTTCTTTAGGATCCAAAGTAAATAATTCAAAGCAACTTTCCTCTTAATATACTCACATTCACAGCTCTTCTTATCCTGCTGATTAACTTCCATCACAAGCAAATGCACAATATGACATAACGCTAATTTTCGTTCAGGAATTTCTCCAAACACGTAAAGACTCGCAGATGATAAAGCTAATCAGAAAATTTAAGCACAATAGAGATCAGAATTTTCAAAACCAGTACCTGAATGCCAATAACACTAACAGGTTTCAGGTTATGCCAATTTGCCATTCTCTTTATGTGCATATATCGAAGGCCATGAATCCGTCTATGCACCTAAAAACAGCGTCCTATTTCCCTTCCGTTGCTTAGTCCGACACCATTCGCGCCTAAAAAACTTTTCTTTGTTCTTGATAGGCCGAACGTTGTCGCTCATGACCCGATAAATGGAATGTTGGGCCTTTTCATGTTCAAATTCAGCTTTGACCCATTAATTTCTATGATATTATGCTGTCCGATTGAGACATTTTTATCAAAGTCCATCGCTGTTTGAAATGTGGGCTAAACTCTAAGAGTTCCATTACAGGACATGTAATAAACAACTTCTCATTGTGACAACAGACTCAACGGAACAACACATTTTCTATTCAAATTCCAAAATGTTACTTGCCAACATATATAATATAAAATAATCACCCCAAATCTCTTGAAAAATTTGGACAACTTATTAAGGATGAATGTAACCAAAAAAAAAAAAAAAACCTATAATTCCGTTTAGTTGATGCTTGTACTTTTCATTATTTGTTTCTTGTTTTTATTTTATATTTTACTTCACAATTTTTATTAAAAAAAAGTAAAAAACAAAAAAACAAAAACACTAACCCCTAGTTTTATTTTATTTTCAATTTTTTTTCTTTTCACTTTTTATTAAGGAAACAAAAAATAAAAAGTAAAAATATCAAAAAAAGGAAGCCTGTATAAATCCACTAATAGGTTGTGTAATAAACCTAGTCAGTTATTAAATCATCCATGCATGTCTTAGTTGTCTTTTTTTTTTTTTTTAGGTTAAAGGGTTAAAATGTTTTTTAATTATAATTTAATAATTATTTAAGTTTTTAATATTTTATTACGATCAATCAAATTCTTAATTTTTTTTATTTCAACTCAATTGTACTTTTAAACGGATGAAATCTAATTACTTTGTAAATTTTAATCAATCAACCCCTGAATTATAATCAATTAAACCCCTAAAAGAATCTTAGAAAGAGACGGTAAAGAGAAAAAATAGAAAAAAGAAAAAAATAATTTATTTATTTTTACATATATTAATTATATCATATAATAAATTTTATATTTTATTGATATCAAATGAAATTTTATTTTAGTTGGTAAAAAATTACCCATTTTAACTTCTATAAAAACTTAATTGGATACAAATAGAAGTTTGAGAGACTGATTAATTATAATAAAAAATAAGAATTTGAATAATTTTTTATTATAGTTAGGGGTTTTTTTTTATTATTATTTGTACAAAAGGGTTAAAGTGTGAGAATCTAAAATTTTAATTTCTTAGCTTTACAGGAAATTCTAACCAGTGGGCAAGGGATTTTTTTTTTCTAATTTGACCACCTTTTTTTTTTTTTTTTCAGCCTCAATATTAAATGGTTTGAGAAAGAAAATACAAAGATACAATTTATAAAAGCACCAAAAAGGGATTGATTGGACTGGCAAAGCTTGCACTGCCTCCCAAGACCAACAATCTAGACCAAATCAAAAGTAGGCCAATTGGCTTTTATATGTCTACTTGAACAATGGATTTTAAAGATTAACTAATGTAAGGGAAAGTTTATGTGCCAAAAAAATTGTAAGGGAAAGTTTTTCGATAAATCATGAGCACTCCATATTAAGAGTATGTGGTGAATTTTATAAGGTACGTGAACCTAATTGAACCAAAATGTAGGCTAATAATTCCCATGTTATTGCTTCCAAAACAAGATCTTAAGTAATTTGAACTTTTTGTTCCTTTTAGATAATCATAATACTAATAAGTATTCAAAAACGTGGTCTACTTTATTTTTAAAAAGATTGTTTCAAATTCAAATTTCCTCCCTTAATTTAAATATTCGTTCAAAAAGTATTTGCAAAAGGAATAATTAAAGACAATAAATGAAATTCTTAATATTGATATTCATAAATTTATTGGGGTTCCCCAAATACTAATATGTAAACATTAATATAAAATCAAATATAATAATCAATACTATAATTATATACAAATTGGGATGTGTACGTGCGCAGTATTGCATGTGCAACTTTTCTCTTTTACTATTATATAATTTTGTCCTTGAGAATGAGAATGTGTTCCTGTACATGTTTATCAGGAAAAAAAATTCTGGAATCCTCAAAAAACATTTAAAGCTCAAGAAATGAGAAATGATTTTTTTTTGCTCATAACATAGATAAATTATATGTTCTTGCTCGAGGACAAGGGAAGGATATTATTTCACGGCGGAAGAACTATTATTGATATAAACAGCCAAAAACTAGATATTGGAAGTTCAATGAAGAACAGAACATGAAAAGCAGACTCCTCCTTGATTCCAGCTACATTAATAGACATTGTTACAAGATTTGATCATACTCATACAACCCCTTGATCAAATTCTTCCGTAATATTCTATTTCTAGACGACAATAAAACGAGAGAAATATTGCCTTACAACAAACCGTACACAATCGAGAACCTTATTGATTTTTCATTTATACATCATAAGGCATGGTTCGTTGGTCACCTTGGAAGCAAGAAGCCGGCAATGGCAGCAGCTGTGATGGTTGTACTGCTGCAGGGTTTAGGTTGGTGTTTGATGGGTAAATATTTCCTTGAACAGGAAAAGAGCTTGGAAAAAATAGAGATGGGTCATCATCTACGCAGTTGATCATGGCTTGGTGAAGCCATATCTGAGTTTTCAGGAACTTTACATAATGAATAGCTTCATCGAGCATGGAGACGGTGTCCATCTTAGTTCCTCCAGGAACCATGCTCTGCAAGATCTTGAAACGATCGCTGATTCGATGCCTCCTTTCTCTAGCAGCCACACTCTGTGGATCGGTCGATAGCCTTAACGCACCTTTGTTCCTTTTGCCAGCCTTCTTCTTCTCTTTGCTGCTGTTGCTGATTGCCACGGAAGAAGACCCATCAGTAAATGATGAGCTACTGTTAGCAGAGTGAAAGTAGGCCATTAACAACAAAACTAGCACTTGTAACTAGGAGACAAGTTTGATTAATTTTGAGTATCTGATGCTAATAGATAGGGGTCCTTCGATAGACATGTATATATAGAGGAGGAAATGCAGGTGGTTCATTTGAATAAATCGAGAATATGTGCATGTCGTCATGTGGGTCAGCCGATCTTTGGCTCAGGATACGGGTGTTTGCCCTGGGGGCCTAGGCCAGCATGGAAAGCAACCTACGCAAAGGTATTTGCTTTGCCTTGTTAATCGTCTTGTTTGCTTATTATCTTTAATAGATACTTTTCTTTCTACAGATATCTGACCCACTTGCTAGGCCCCCCCTTTCAAACGCACAAATGTGCGTAGAAAACGATAGGCGAGAGAGAAATTTTGGGTTTGCATTTGCTCAGGTGGTGAAGATCAGAAAGACATTAAAGGAGCAAAGGAAAAAGAAGGTAGGGGGCCGGGGGTCCCCTCTGAAATCGAAGTGGATGTATCATTTATAGTTGCAGATGTGTCTAAATCCAAGAACCAAATCGTTGCTGGGCTTTTAATGTACGAAGCATGCCTTTTCCCTAAGGTTACACACTGTTTGCTGAAAGAAAATAACTATTCATGTTCCCTCGATTACTCCTCTTTAAGTAGAAAAGAAAAGAGAGCTTCCGGCCAGTCATATCAGCTCTTCTTTTAAAGGAAATTGTTTAGGAAAGTTGTTTGAACCAGTTTCAGATTTAAGCTAGATTCGTTAGCATGCAAACATCCCCTGATAACCAAATCTTTCATAGAAACCAGCGGGCAGGTGCATGTTAGCTTTTTTGCGATATACAGTTCAAATAGAACTATGCAATAACATAGTGCAACTTGACAATCATGTTATTATGCCTTAAAATGTCCCTGCATTTCAGCTGAAGCCTAAGGGGAAGTCTAAATTGTAATTATATGGACCGACGATGTTCCGGGAATAGCCAAAGCCTCGAACATTCTTGGTCAAAGAGCTGGAAAAGGAAAAAGAAAATGTACTCTTTCATCACTTATTAGAATCATACTGAAGACGTACGTCAAGGTAAAATCATGACCTTGACATAAAAATTAGTGCTAGAACAGTAATGGGAACTAACTAAAATAAAGAAAAAAAACTATTTTGTTACAGATTAAGAGAATCCATAGGTGAAATAGGGAACTCTGGCTCCTTGGCTGCAAAATTGGCTTCCAGGAAAGCATATCTGCAAATATATAAACTCTGGATTAATGGTTTTATTCTACGATTTCCAAGTTCTGTAAACTATAGCACAACAATAGACGTAAATCATTATTATGAGACTAATTTTTGGCAGTTATTGTATGTAGAATATTTGATCCCTAATGCTCAGTTTATTGGAGAATTTATTAGGTTTAACTTTCATGCCCGGCCTCTCTCTTCATTGGCTGAACAAGGGAAACCTGCACAGTGCTTCAGTTTGTTAATTTGAACTTCCTATTTCCAGCCCAGATTACGTCACTAACCCTGGAGATCCTTACTTCATTCATCAGACATAAATGGTGAAATGAAAATTCATGGAAATACAAAAAAATTATTAAAAGCTAGAAAAAAATAGTCATCGAGAGAAGAAGGATAGACAAAGATATGCAAAAGCACATGTGGGTTCCGGTTTTCGCGTTGGGGTCGGTAGAACCCTAATTATTCTTACTTGTTGGACTGAAATACCAGCTTTTCATGTCTTCTCATATCTAGTCAACACACATCAGTCACAATTTTCTTCAGATTTATCTGATTGTTCTGATAAATTTTATGCTAGTTTAACATAAATTAATGATTTCGTATACAGCTTTTGACTAGACTAGTTAACAAAACCATATCAAAAGAAGATAAAAACTATAAGAAGTCTACAGTTTTGGGACAGAGGCTGGTAGCCTTTGGATTAGCCATTTGATTGAAATAAAGGTTACTAATTGAGTGGAAACAGGGCTATAGCAAGGTCTGATATACTGTTTCCCGTGTTACCGAGACAGATACGATTTTAACTTGTTATAGTGGGTACAGAGTAACTGTTGTTTCAGTTTTTGAGTAAGAGAAACGTTACGAAAGATCTGAAGATAATTTGAAGAAGGACCCTCTGAAACGTTGTGACCCGTTTCTTTCTTTTCCTTTTCTCCCTATTTAATATGTCAAGAAAAAGTGAAAAATGTCGGCTCTTCTTCTTTATAGGCTTTTCGAGAAAGAGATGTTTACCTTGCATGAAAGGGCGAGTCTTCTTTTTGCATAACAGTTACCAAAGACGAAGTTGTGAATTGTGATCAGAGTTGCTAAAAGACTTTGTTTTTCTTCGACATAAAGGAAACATAGAGGGTTCAATATCAATTCTCTAACCAGGGACGAATACGGGAGATTCATCTTTGGAGACCCCAGTCTTTCTCCCAAAGTTCAAGGACTCTTTCCTGTTTGCAGATGATTGACTGGATATGGTACACTGAGTTCCAAGCACCATACCGCTAAGAGACCAATTGATTTGAGTGTTACGGCAGGGAATTGGATACTAACTGTTGGTTTATTTGTTTCGTCTTTCATCTTACTGCCCCAGCGAGTAGCTGATGTTAAATTGTTAATTAACCAAAAGTTGGGCAATAGAACTTTAACTTTTTTTTTTTTTCAAGAAAAATTTGAGATAAATAGATTATTTAATTTTTTAAGTTAAAAAAAATATACTGTATATAATAATTTAAAGTAAATGATTGTAAATTATGCATTTAAAATAATTTTAACGAGTAATTATCAATAAAATTTAAATCAAAAATTTTTTTTATTTGAAAAAAATAAATTTTAATTAATTGAATCAATTATTTGTTGATGAATTTTACCTTTAAAAATTTGGAACTTGATCTTGCGAGTCCATTTATTATTATTTTTATTGTTATTATTATTATTATTATTATTATTATTATTATTTGCGAAAGGAGATTCAAATTCTTCTATTTTTCCATTTTTGAGTTCCTTTTACCCGTTTGTTATTAGATCAATAAGCCCAATTATAATTCGAAGTCTAGGACATATACAAATAAAGACCAGAAAAAAGCCCAGTTCAATTGCTTTAAAGAGATTTACTTACAAGGCTAAGCACAGCCTACCACCCAAGATTGCTCGAACTGTATAGCTTATATTGAGGCTGGCCCAATTCAAGAAGAATGAATGATGCATTTTTCTAGGGGCATTCTAGTGAAATGCTGAATCAATGACAATATGTGGCCACATTAAAATTACCTTACAAGGAAGTCCGTTTGATATCCAAAAACTGGTCAACAACACTCAAATAGGTGAGGAATGTTAGGGGTGAACTAGGGTAAAGCCGAATCAAAATGTTGGCTAGGTAAACGTCCTGTAGTAAGAGGAATAGTTATAAACCCCGTAGACCATCTTTATGGGGGTGGTGAAGGGAGAGCTTCAATTAGTAGAAAAAAATCTGCAACCTCTTGGGATTATCCTACACTTGGAAGAGTAAAAAATAATAATAATAATAAATAGTGATAATTTGATTCTTCGTTGCTGTAGTAAATAGGAAAAAAATGTATTTCTTCGTCTTATTTATTTCTTCATCTTTAAAAAAAAAAATGACACGTTAAAAAATGACACATTCAATAAAAAAAATCCTTTTCTAACAAATCGTTTATTAAAAAAAAATTCGAAAGGCATACCTCTGTGCTATACAAAGAACCGGAGATCTTGTTAACAAATTAGAAATTAAATCTGAGACCTGCAAGAATGATCCACATCTCTCCATGTGGCTCTCCCCGTGTCTACATTCCCCGCTTCTCGCACCTTCTGTCGCCACTACGAAACTTCCAGCACCACGTGTCATTTCCGTCCAGTCTCCACCTCCATATATAAACCATCTTGCTTGACAAATTCTAGTCAGGCAGCGAATTATAAGCAGAATTCAACAGAGGAAGCTTTTGTTGGGAATTTTTGTTAAGGCATGGCTAGTGATCAGGATCAATTCAGGGTTGTATCCCCTGCCATAAACCATGAAGGAAAGTTACCAAGGAAGTACACAGACGAAGGTCAAGGTGCAAAGAAGAATCTGTCTCCCCCACTAGAATGGTACAATATGCCAGAGGGGACTCAGTCGCTGGCCCTGGTGGTGGAAGACATAGATGCACCTGAACCCAGCGACCCGATCCTAACATACCGCCTATGTTGAAGGGTCTCCCTGAGGGATTCTCCGGAAAGGAAGAGGAGGCAGGTGGAGATTATGCTACCATCAAAGAAGGCAACAATGATCACAAGGTTCCTGGATGGCGAGGACCCAAGTTACCCTCTCATGGCCACCGTTTCCAGTTCAGGCTATTTGCTTTGGATGATCAGTTGAAACTTGGCCACAAAGTACATTTTCATCTTAAATATACACATGTTGCACATATATATTGCAATATTTTGTCTCATGGCATGGCTTATTTGCACATAAAATTGATATTTACATTACGTTGCTCACTGGATGACATTTTCTTTAATATTCGTCCTATTCTTCGTAATTTCATGATAGATCTGGTTGTTGGTTTATACAGGTGACCAAGGAGAAGCTGCTAGAAGCAACCGAAGGACATGTACTGGGTGAAGCAGTATTGACGACCAAGTTTTGAGCAAAAGATACTTGCACTAATATGTATCTTCTCTAAAATCTAGACATCAATTAATGAAAAATTAAGGACTTTTGCTTTTTTTTTTTCTCTTGTTGCAACCAAAAGTATCCTTTCGGAGTGTTTTTCTTAATTTGGCTTTAAACAGAAGGTTTTGTTGTGTGAATTGCTGCATTCTTTATGTAGACATTATTAAAGAGATTAATCCAAGAACTATTTAATTTGGATGAATTTGCAGCTCCCTTAATAGAAATTCATTCTTGCTTTCAGGTATACATCGGTCAATATAAGATAAAAAATTTCAACTATGTATAAATAAATAAATTCTTACTGTAATTAATTAAACTTTAAATTAACCAGACTCGAGTTTAAAGTCGATCAATTGAGATAGGATTCTGTTGTGCAATTTGTAATTCTAATTTGTTGAGATATTTCAAAAGAAAAAAAAAAGTAATACTCAAAAGTATAAAAATTTGACTTTCACTTGAATTGCTTTGGTACGCCTAAACATGAAGGGAGTGTTTTGTACTATATCTTATTACTAATTGAGATGACTAGTGATATTCAGATTATGTGATTTTATTATTAGTAAATTTGTAATTTAGATGACTTATCATTCGTGAATTTATGATTTAGTAAATTTGTAATTTAAATGACTCATCATTTGCGAATTTATGATTTAGATGAATTCTTGATTTGACAATGACTTTATTATTAAGATGATTTTATTATTAAGATAATTTTATCATTTGTGATATAGTGATTTAGATGATTTTATTATTAAGATAGTTTTAAGTGGTGATATAGGTGATTTTATTATAAGGTAATTTTATTATTTGCGATTTAGGTGATTTTATTATTAGTGAATTTATGATTTAGATTCTTTTACTATTAAGGTGATTTTATTATTCGTGATTTAGATTATTTTATTATTAAGATAATTTTTTTATGATTTAGAATTACTTTATTTTTTTATCTTTTGTAATTTAGAATTACTTTATTCGATTTTATCAAAATAATTTTATTATTTGCAATTAAGAATATTTTATTTTGTTAAAAATTGCAGTATTTAGTATTATTAAAAATCAATATTATTTCGTCTAAAAGTGTCAAAATAATTATGTCATATTTAATAGTTAAAAAAGTTAATGATTTTAATATTATTTAAATATAATAAGTTGTAAAATATTAATAATATTTTATTTGTTTTATATTAAAATAATAATTTGTAAATTATTAATAATATTTAATTTATTTTATATTAAAATATAATTAAATGATTAAATAATAAATATATTTGTTGATAAGTAAATTAATTTTTATAATATGAATTATATAAAAGAATTTGAATTAAAAAATTAATAACAAATATATTTATTGATAGATAAATTATATATAAATTATATAAAAGAACTTAAATTAAAAAATAACACTATCTTATAAATCATAAAAATTTTTTTTTATCATATTTTAAAAAAAGAAAGTAACTCAAATTATTTTTTTAATTAGTTATAACAATACTAATTTGAAAATATAAAAATTTATAATATAAAATAATTATAATTTTGAGAAAAAAATAAAATTTTAATTCACATAAGTAATATTGATTACTATTAAGATTAGATACCATTTTTATTTTGATGATAAAATTTTTCTACCTTTTTGGATGAGAACTAAATTATTTTTTAAGTTGATGATTTGATCACTTTTGATAATTTAAGTTTATCACCATATAAAATTGTCAAATGCTTATCAAACACAAATCAAACACAAAAACACTTTGTAAATCGTCATGATTTTTTAGAATAATCATCTCATATCAAACATCATTAAAGAGATGACTTTTTCATCAAATTATAAGGATGACAATGAATAATAAATAGATATCAGTCGCTATTTAAACTAATTATATTGGATTTGAATAAATGAATAATTAATATATTCTGATAAAAGATTCACTATTCGTGATGAATTTTGATATGAACGGATAGTATCCTTTAAATATCCAAAATCCGAATCTATTTAAATTTTAATAAATAATAACAAATATCTGAATCAATTACTTATTTACATATGTAAAATTTTATACTTATGGATAATTTTAAACCTTAGCAAATAACTTTTATTTGTTATTAATCAAGAGTGAACTTGAATTTTAAATTTAATTCTTATTTATTTTATATTTTGACAAAAAAATTAAATAAATAGATATTTTAATCAATTCAAATATTTAAATGGATACTTATTTAAATGGATTTAAATTTGGATAATAATACTAAATTTAAACGAATTTGGATATTATAAATATTAAAAGATTCGAATACAAATACAAATACGAATACTTAAAAAATAACGAGCATCCACTTTGTTGATATCCCTACTTGTACTACTACTATTTAATTGAAGTACAAATTTTTTGCCATTTATTTTTTGTTTTTAGAAAAATTCTTATCAAGAAAATACTGTTTATTTATTTATTTATTTTGTTTTATGAGAACAATTCTTATCAAGAAAATGCAAAAATTAATTGTTATAAACAAAAGGGCAATAATAGTTGATTTAAAACAAAAAGTATTGCTTTTTATAACGTAATTAGCGTAATTCCCATGCGTTGCCGCAGCGATTCAATGTAATATATGATGATAATATAATATTTTTTAAACTTTGTATCAATTAAAATACTATAAACACCACAAACACATAAATCGGAAAACCTAGCAAATTTTTTTATAGATAAGAATTAATAAACTATATGAAACCACAATAGTAGGTTGGACACTTAACCAACAATAGTTTAAGTAGCGAAAAGATGCATACAATATGAAACTTGGTTCTGCAAAAATGTTCCAACAGTACAACATCAAATGCATTCAATATGAAACTAGAAGCATTTGGTATTGTGTTAATCAGAATTGGGCTGCTGCTTGTGTTTCCTGATCCTATGTATCTTCCACTTTCGTATGTTAGTATTTAAAGCTTAACTTACATTAAAAATATAAGCTGAGAAACGACTACAATAATAATTAGAAATATGATAATGTAAAAGGCTCATGCTGTAAGCTTACAATAGATAGACACATCTCTCAAGCATATGTTTATTATTGTTATTTGAAAAATGACAACTTCTCAAATGTAGTGAAATACATACCTAAAAGTTTGGTGGAAGAACTTGATTACCTAAAATGGCTTGGATAATTAACCAACAGTAGTTCCAGCAGTATAAAATAAAATGCATACACATCTTATATGTTAATTTACCTAGAAAAGCAAACAACACATTTTGGCTTCTTATGAGTAATTATAAATTTCATGAAGCTGTTTAAAAATAGTTTTGAATGCTTATCATTTTAATGGTTACCATAATTAAATTATATTTCTATTACAGAATGAAAAACAAAAAACATAAATGCAATTTAACATAAATAAAATTTTCTTTTTCCAGCAAACCATGTGTTCATATGACCAATAAAAGCAATTAAAGATTATAGCAAATGAAGTAAAACTTGGTTTAATTTTTTAATGAAAGTTCATTAGTCATCCCTTCCTTCTCACCATCTGTTGAAACGATTGGTGCAACAATATGTTTTTCGCGGCTGCCATATAGTAGAAAATAACAGGATGAATAAAGTACCAAGCATAGAACAAAAAAACTTATAATTCATCAGAATTTAGATATCAAACACATTTCTAGCAACAGTAGTTTAAAATAGCTATTTAGATCCCGAAAAATTTTTTTGGCAAGTCCTTCTTTTGTCGGGATTTCTTCTGTTTCTATCATTTGATTGAATGCGTTTAAAGTTGGTTCTCTGGTTCAACAATAGAAAAGGCAAGTTGTTTAAAATAAATCAATTTCTACTGAAACATAATCACCATGAAACTTAAGCGTTTTGTCAATGAAAAATAAAAGTTGAAGTCAACAATCATTATTCCATCTATATGGAAACATAACTTTGATACTTTGATAAATGAGTCAATCACACAAACACGTGAAATGGTAAAACAAACCTAATCCAATGTGCTTTTAAAGGTGATTCAACAGAATATAAATCGAAAGGAACATTAATAGCTGCTTGTATAAAAAATATATATATATATATCCATATAAAATAAAAATGAATAAAACATAGAAATGGTTTTAGGATGAAACAACGAAACAAATCATGAAAGCAATAGATGTATTTAGATCTAAAAAGTTTGTACCAAACTACAAAGTACTATTTATTAGAGCTAATGGGCTAAACAAATATCACTAAATTCTAACGTTAGTTATCTTTCTTTTCAAGAAAGGAAGTGAAATCTATACAACATCTTTGTCAAACATATTATGGTTAATAAAACAAGAAGAATGAAAAAAGAAAAATTAAGCTTCATGCATCATAAATTATCTCAATGTGAGCTTAAGTCAAAATATTAGCAACCAGTATAGTTAAAATGCACTTGGCTTTTATATAATAATATAAATTATTGAGTTCATGATATATTTCCTTATTAGCAAAAGGAATCCTTAATCTAACTTCAAAGGCTAAGGCAATATGCTTTTCAATATTACAACAAATAAGGAGAAACTCATAACCACTAATCCATAGGAAAATTAATCCACCGTTTTGATAGCTATGCATTACTATGAGAAGAAGATGATCCTTTCAGTCAATATCAATAATGAAAATTTGCAAGCCATGCATAATGTCATTAACTCATCACAAAATGATCCATCAAATTATATATATGTATAACATAGAATAGCATTCAAATTGACAGTTAAATCATTCCTTATTCTAGTAAGGAATAACAAATTATTGAATTCACATGGACATAAAAGACAACAGAAAACAAAAGAGGCACAAGCAATGGAACCTGTCAATATTTAAGTTAAAGTTCCTTTTCCTCTCAAATTTAGAACAAAATACAACACAGCTATTTGAATTCTTATAAGGTGATATGTGCCAAGATTCACGTAGGTTCCAATGTGCTGCCACTCAGTTCCTTTGACAACACCTGATTTA